GTCGTCTGTAGGCTCGCATCCCTGGATCAGCCTGAAAACTAGCCTGACCCATATCTGTGTGGACGTCTAAGATCCTGATGAGCTGGAGTGTAGGGTAAAGAACTATCATGAATAAAGTAACTTTTGAAAAATGAAGTCACCCCTGTGTCAAATCCAGCTGTATTCTCTAGTCCTACTCAAGTGACTAAAGAAAAAGAAGTTTCCCAGCTGACCAGTAGACTCACACTCCAGGCTACACAGAGAAGTGTCCCTACTGGTGAAAGGCCTAGTGGTGTGCAGAATTTCTAGTTTGCTATAGAAAGTCCCTTTTATGCTGCTGCATGAGCCCAGCCACTGCAAAGATTTCCCAAGCAGGACCTTGCATGGTGACAGACATCATATCAAAGGGGCCAGTTTGGTCCAACCATGAGAATAGTGATGTGCAGGACCTCAAAAGGATGTCGATATGAAAGGATCAAAGAGCTTAGACCTGGTCTTGAACTCGCGATCACAGCACAGCAAACGGTGCAGAACTCTTAACCTGAGCCTAAGCCTATAACCGTAAGGTCAGTGATGAGTCCAAACAGAGAACAGTCCTCCAGCACAGAAATGGCACCTCCCCCGAGATCAGCTGATCAGCTGATCCACGATCTCAGAACAATTTTTCTCTTTGGGGAACACCTTCAAATGCAGACATCACAATGTCATGTGGTGCTGGCCCCCATCAGGCTTCATTGGGGACAGTGCCAAGAATGGGCTTAGCTAGGTCCATGGAACCTCTATCCTCTCAGGAGCCTAATTGGCTCCTCAGCCTGCCTTGACTGAGGTATCTTTGGATCCAGAGAAGTTTCTGGGCACTCCAGAGCCCTGGTGTTTAACTGAGTCTGAGTCATAGCTCAGGATATAGCAGGGAGGGCCCCTTGACTTCTGGGGTACCAGTGTATCTCATAGTGACCAACTGAAGCCACTGCTCAGGGTGCAGGTGAGTCTGGCAGTTGCTCCAGGAGATGCAGAGAGGGAGTGAGGCTGATCATCACAGGCTGGAGACGGAATCTGCAGATAGAGAAGCGTGGGGGTAATGGGACCAGAGTGATGTTTCTCAGGGCAATTGGCGAGAAGCAGAATGGGAGCTGCCCCTGATTCCCAAAGCCTGTCCCTACCTGTTCAGTGAGAGGAGCATGAGGAGGAAAGGAGTCCAGGCCATGGTGGGCACTACCCCTGGTCGCCACATGGCTAGGCTGCCCCCGAACCCCTTTCTTCCCATCCTCTGCCACAAGAGGGGCTCTTCATGCAAGTGTGTGTCCATCCAGTGACTGCCCAGCTCCTCACTGAGCCCTGGGCTGGGGCTCAGCTCACACTGCAGTCTGAGGGGGAGGGAAGTTGACTCTGTCCCTTGGGGAGCCCTGGGAGGAAGCACCTGCTGAGACAGCACAGAGGACCTTGCTCAGGGTAATCTGCCTGTTGGTGAGGGTATTTCCTCAAGTTACCAAATTGTTTTTCTCATTTTTGTAAGACTTCATCAGAATGGCCTTTATGGTCCATATTTCTATGAATGAACTCTTCATAACCACGTGAATAATCTCTAAGAAGATTCAGGTTGTCCCTATAGTGTCCCCCTTCTCCTGAGCCCTCCCCAGAATAACGATTAAGGTTTCTTTTACTACAATGCACCTGAAAAGTCTTTCCATCTATCCATTACCCAGTGCAAAACCACTTCCATACTTTTAGGTGTATATATATATTTTTAATAGCAGTACCCCATTCTTTAGTAAGATTCCGTCTTAGTCCATCCTGGGATGTTGTTACAAAATACCTTAGATTGGGTAATTTATAAACAAGATAAATTAATTTTTCACGGTTCTGGAGGCTAAGTCTAGCCCTACGTTGCCAGAGGTTTGCCGTCTAGTGAGAGTACGTTCCTCACAGATGGCGCTGTCTCAGTGTCCTCATGTGGTGGAGTAGACGTAAAGGCAGCAGTTTTCTAAATACTCTTTCATGAGGACACAGATTCCTTGCACGAGGTTCGAACCCTTGTGACTTAATCATTCCCCCCAATTCCCTACCTCTTAATTCCACCAGTAAAAGGAATTAAATTTCAACATGAATTTTTGTTGTTGGTTTTAGTTAGCATAGGATATGTGCACTTGCCCGAGAGAGACACAGAGAAAGAGAGAGAGGGAAAGTGAGAAAGCATCCCCTTGAGGGGAAGGGGGATGACCACACCACAGTCCCTCTCCTCAGTTATCCTCTGGAGATTTGGGGCACACATGCACACGCATTTCAAACAGCTTGTTTCTCAAGCTGTCTGGTTCAGGACTTGAACTGTACAGTGGCTATGGGGGATCCAGTTTCCTTAACCAGCAGAGTATCTAGTTGGCCCTTAATGTGAAATTGTGAGGGCCGGCCATGAAAATTCAAACCGTACTAGGAGATAAACTTGGAGATGTGTGTTCTAGTCCTTTCTCTTCACAGTTTCTGGGAGGTGTAGCCCCTGAAAATGCTTGCATCCTCATTTAAAATCACCTCATTTTACCTATGATCTAGGGTTACTTACAGATGCCTGAACCCTGCTCCCAGAGTTAGGGGATTTGGAAAGCGGTCCGTTGGGTGGGAGCTTTATGAATGAACCAACACCTTCCAGGAAGAATCAGCAGATCTGGATTT